GGGGACTGACACTGATTCTAGCCACTCCAACAGCTATCAAAGTGCCTGAAAACAAATCCTGAGTCCATCACTCTCAAGTCCAGCCTTGGCAGACAGAAGAAAAATGAGGAGGAACCCAATAGAGGGATGGTTTTGAAAGCTCTCATCAAGAAATTCCAATGGCATCCCATATGAACATTTGAAATTTTCCCTGTTCTCACTCTTTTCTGGTTCCCTGTCTAGAACTTATAATGCTAACTACACTTGCCTTTACTTCTTCACATCTCCTAGGCACCAGTCAAGGACTTTATTTTCTCCTTATAGTTAAGAGTTATGCAATTTGGGAGTCTTTTAGATAGATCCACTGAATGGGTACCCCAATTGCCTCACCCCGAGTCCCTGTTCAGCACTGAAGAAGGCAGAGCGGTCTGCATCCCTATTCCTCATGGGTAATTTGGGTAACCTCTTCAGAGGATGGTGTGATAAGAATAGGAGGTAGGAATTGATTAGGTAGTTAGGGTGAAAGACCCCAAAGAACAGTAACCAGTTTCTTGGCTAAAACTCAAAATGTCCTTGGGCATCTTAGCAACATTCTCTGTTCCGAAGGCCAAAAATGTCAAAAGTATTTGGGAGCTCTTACCTAAACCGCTTCAGAGGGGGGAATGTTAGAGTGTCAAAAATTGCCATTGAAAAAAAGAAAGAATACACAAAATTGTCAGAAGAAAGTGATGGGGAGATATGGGAGGAGTTGGAAGGGAGGGAGTGGATATAGATTTGATCCAAACACCTTATATACATGTACGAAATTCTCAATAAATTTTTTAAAGTAAAAAAAGTCGTATATAAGATTTTCACACTCCTTCCTTTCAAAGATGCAGCCTAAGTTCACTCTCTTTGAACCTGGGCTAGACTGAGTGACTTGGTTCTAACGAATGACATGTGGCAGAAGTGATGATGTGTGACTGCCTAGGTCAATAAGAAATCCCTGCAGCCTCCCCTTCGCTCCCTTGGTCTGAGAGTGTTGAGAGAAGCTAGCTACTGTGTCACACTACTCAAGTAGGCACTCAGGGCAGCCTAGGAGGACAGGAACTGAAGCTTCTTGCCAGCTCCACACCAGTTTCTCATCCCTCTGATAACCGTCTATGAGTGGAGACAAGCCTGCAGAAGACAACAGCACTGGCCAGCATCTTAACCTGGAGATGACCCTGGGTCAGACCACTCAGCCAAGTGGCTCCTAATTCCTCACCCATAGGAACTGTGACATATTTTTTCTAACCAAATGTGGTAATATATACCTGTAATCCCAGAACTCAGGATGTTGAAGTGGGATAATTGTGAGTTCAAGGCCAGCCTTGTACTACATAGCAAGCCAGCCAGACTTTGTTTCAAAAATAAATAAGTAATATTGATACTAGGCATAGTGGCCCATGTCTATAACTTCAACACTCTGCAGAGAAAATTGAGACAGAAAGACTACATGGGCATCAGAAGCAGTTGAGTTCAATATGGGCAACATGACTAGATCCTCTTTCAGAATGAAAAATGCATTGCTGTTTTAAACCATGAAGATTTGCTATACATAACACTAGATAACTGACAGAGCTATACACTTTACTAGGCTAACCCATCTAACCTTCCAACTTGGTGTCACTAGTCTGACTCCTTCAGTCACTGAACATATTACTGTGTTACAGAATCCCCACCATTCCTCTTTCCTATCTCTTTGCCTGTTATTATCAGTAGTGTTAGCTGAGCTGGAAATGGGAAGACAGAAGCAGCAGAGACAACCAGAGTGTCTATTGATCTGAAGTCAGTGAGAGGAGGGGAGCAGCTTGGCAGCTAAGGACGAACATCATGTGATTTGATGTCACTACGCACTATAAAGATTTGACAGCTGAAGGGCTGCAATGACCCATCAGACCCAACCTTCCAGGTTCTGTGCTCACTACCTGGTACCCTGACTGAATGGGTTCCACACAAATTGACACCATCCAGCACCATGCCTGCCCCTGATACTGCTTCTGATGCCCAATACTGAGCTCTAGAGCAGCCCAGCATGTATTCTTGAGACCTGGACTTCCTTTTCCCCTGAGAAAGTCCTAGCAACCTCAGAGGTGGTTCTAGAGGCTAGTGCCCCATTTCTGATACTGAGTGCTAGATTCCCAAATGGCCCTGGTTGAAACAAGCACCCCATTCCTGAGTTCTGGGTGCAAGCTTCCCAGTACAAAGCACTAGCAACCACTTCTTGACAGCTGAAGACATAGCTGTCTGCAGAGGGATCAGACTACCCACTGGAAGCACCCATAGGCCTTAACGCACCCAGCATCAGGGTAGATGTAGCATCATTGCAGTGGACAGCTCACTGACCCACCCAAGGGGGACAGTAGGAAGGAATGCTTACATGGGAGTGATCAGACCACCCAGTACTAGTTCCTCAATGGTCCTCTGAGTGCCCTGGCTCTACAGTACTGTCCTAACAGAAGCCAGAGCTTCTGGTCATCCTCACAGGTTCTACTAACAACAGAAGAAGCAGCTGAACAACTTAAGAATGGCCAGGGAAAGAAGAAGGAGAGAGGCAGAAGTAGACTATGATGGAGAGCTGGGAACTGAAGAAAGGATGTAAGAGACCAGAGAAAAGAATCCGAAGGCCCTGGTTACCAGAAGCATTCCAAAGAGTTGTCAAGTCTTCCAGGCAAGGGTCTCAGACCCTAGCTGACAGCTGCTGCAAAAGCCAAGGATCTCAATACCCAATACCTGCATGGAGGCTATAACCTGTAAGCTAAGGATCCCAAAACCCAAGGCTGGTCAGAGGCTGTTAATAGTAGAGGGTGGCGCCTGCCATCGCTTTCTGCCTGGCTGCTGCTCACTGCTCTCAGACACTGCAAGAAAATAAAAGCTGCTAAAGACCAGTATTCTTGCCTACCACAATTTCTATCCAGGTGAACAAAAGAACCCTCACCTGCTTGGCTGGTGACAGTCCATACAAACCTGTAATCTTAGTACTCAGGAGGCTGACATAGGAGAACCACGAGTTCAAGGCTGGCATGGGCTATATAATGAGACCCTGTCTCAAAAATGACAAACAGGAGGAGAAGGAAGGGGAGAAGAAGGAGAAGAAAAAGAGTGAGAAAGAGGAAGAGAAATGAAAAAAAGAAAGAGATGGACAATGGTAGGGACATAGCTCAGTTTGAGGAGTGTTTGCCCAGCAAGTACAACACCCTGAGTCAATCCCTGAAATGACATAAAATGAGGCATGGTGTCTGTTGCACACCTGTAATCCTTGGAGGTGGAAGAGGATCAGAAGTCTCAGGTCCTCCTCACCTACATAGCAAGTTTAAGGCCAGTATGGGATACGTGAGACTGTGCTCCATCCCCCCAAAAAAGGACAAAAAAAAAAAAACCTTTACTCTTAAAGAAAAACATGCACTTACCTTGAATGACTCCTCACCAAAGGGCAGCGACACCCCATAGTAACGATGTTCAGCAAACACCAACATAGCTTTCAGCTTCTCAGCCACATCCCACATGAACCCCTAAGAATTTATAAATTCACAAGCAAAATTAGGACATGAAAAAAATCACCACTAAAACCAGACCAGAAAGCACACTCTGAAAATTTGCACAATGTTTGTTCTACAAATAAATAATTGCTGTTTTGTTTTTGAATATCAGGCTTACACTGTATTATAGTGGAATAGTTGGAAAAAGACCCTGTGACTGGGTATAATGACAGTATCTGCAGCCTAACAGTAGAGAGGCAGAGACAGCAGGATTCCCCCATCACCTAGCACAAAGCCAACCTGTACAACATAGTACCTTCCGGGCCAGCCTGAACTATACATAATTAACAGGTCTGAAAAAAAAAGGTAAAAATTAGGTCATGGTTGCTCATCCCCTGGAAATTCAACATCTTTTTTTTTTTTACCTTGTAGCCCTGGAATCAGAATTAAGCATCAGCCTTTAAGTTTGTACCAAATATACAAAGAAAGACCTAAAGATGCCTAGTTATCCACCTACTCACATTTACACCATAAAGTAGAAAACATTAAAAATAAGCATACTAAACTCTGTTGGGTTTCAAATTGATCTTATTTATTGAAAGTTAATAGTAGCTAACAGCTGCTAATCCTAACTCGGCACTTATGTCAGATACTATTCTAAACCTTCCATGTATTAAGACAACAAACAAGAATCTGACACAATGGTTTTACAAACTAGGACACTGAGACACAGGACTTGAAATAGCCTTCCACATTCATACAGCTACTAAGTGGCAGAGCCAAGACTGAAATTCAGGCTGTCTGGCTGCACAGCCATCCAGGGCTTCTGAACGTCCCTACTCTAACACCCATGGCTCCTCAGGCATCACTTTGCTGCCTCTTTCCCTTTGATTGGACAGTGGCCTCAGAACCATTCTCAACAAAGCATTCCAGGCAGATATCATTAACTGATTAGACAATTTAGCATGGATTCAAACCATCATTCCTAATGCATGCTGTTGGTATTTAATGAGTTACTATTCCCAACAAAGGACTTCAAAATGGCTTTGGTTGTTTTTATCAATACCTGAGCAATTAAGAGCTGAATGACATTTTATGCAATAAAATGTGGTCTGACAGAATGCATGGAATCATTTCAATCTTTTTGTATTTGTTGAGGCTTGTTTTGTGCCCTAGTGTGTGGATGATCTTAGAGAAAGTTCCATGGGGCACTGAATAGAAAGTATATTCTTTGGTCTTTGGGTTGAATATTCGGTAGATGTCTGTTAGGTCCATTTGATGTATGGTATCATTTAATTTAGATGTATCTGTAAATTCCCTCTCCTGTTGACCTATTTAATAGAAACAATGAGGTATTGAAGTCCCCTACTATTAATGAGCTGGGATTAATCTGGGTCTTAAAGTCCTGTAGTATTCTTTTTATGAAGTTGGGTGCACCAAAGTTTGGTGAATATGTGTTCATGATTGTAATATCTTCTTGGTTTATTGTTCCTTTGATCAGGATGATGTGGCCTTCTTTATCTCTTATTTACTTTGAAGTCTATTTTGTCAGATATTAGAATTGCAACCCCTGCTTGTTTCTTAGTGTCATTTGCTTGGAATATTCTTTCCCATCCTTTCACCTTAAGATAGTGCCTGTCCTTGAAAGTGAGATGGGCTTCTTGCAGACAACAAAAAGATGGGTTTTGTTTCTAATCCATTCAACTAGTCTCCATCTTTTGACTAAGGAGTTCAGTCCATTGATATTTAAATTTATCATTGAAAGACGTGTATTGATTCCTATTATTTTGATTTTTGCTCTCATTCTTGGTGTAACTGTGCATTTCCACAGTTATACCTTCATTAAGTTTCTTTCTGTTACCCCTTGGATATAGTTGTTCCTTTCTTTAGCTCTTTGTGTTGCTTCAAGAACTCTCTGAAGGGCTGGTTTTGTGGACATGAATTCTTTCAGCCTGTTTATGTCATGGAAGATTTTTCTTTCCCCTTCGACTATAATAGACATTTTGACTGGATATAGTAATCTTGGGTTTTCCTTTATATGAGACTTGCTGTTTTTCTTTTGCAGCTTTCAGTATTGTCTCTTTGTTCTGTACATTTAGTGTTTTTACTATGATGTGCCATGGAGAGTTTCTTTTCTAGTCATATCTGTTCGGTGTTCTATGTGCTTCTTGTGTTTTTATGGGCATGTCTTTCTTTAATTTGGGGAAATTTTCTTCTACAGTCCTATTGAAGATCTGGTCCAAACCATTATCCTGAGATTCTTCTCCTTCCATTATGCCTATGCTGTGTAAGTTTGGTCTTTTTATGGTGTCACACAATTCCTGAATATTCCATTCTTATGTTTTCTTAAATTTTTCATAATCTTTGCTTGAGTGGTCTAATTCATCCACTTTATCTTCAGTCTTGATATTCTGTTTTCCATTCCACTCATCCTATTGGTGAGGCTTTCTCCTGTAGTTTCTAATTGGCTTATTGAGTGTTTCACTTCCTTCTTCCTTTCAGCCTGGGAATTCTTCAATGTTTCTGACACTTTTCTGAATTCATTCAGAAGTTTATCGTCTTTCAGTTCTTTGATTTCTTTGTTTCTGTGTTCTTTAAATTCATTGAATTGTTTTATCATGTTCATAATTGTTCTTTTGCATTCCAGGCCCTGTGTTATCTCTAGGGGATTCTCATTGTACTCCTCTACAGGACTGCTGGTATTTGGTGGGGATATATTATTTGGGCTTTTCCATGCTATTATTTTTAACTTTGACTTTGACATGTGAATTTCTTTTGTTGTTTTTGACTGTG